GTGTACGCAAAGTTTCGTCGCTCGCCTGTGTCGACATATATTATATAAAAGTTTCGCCTCGTGAAAATGATTGTACGTAAAACGGGGAAAGGACACGGTCAGTCCGAATCAGATTCTCAGTCGGGTGGGGGTGGGGGTGGGGAGTTTGCAGTCTCTCGTGCTTACAAATACATATACACGATATATTTGAAAACTTTGAAAACTTTCGAAAAAGAACTTTCGATCTGCGAAGAGACGCGGTAAAAAGGTTTCTCCAAAGCCCGGGACATATTGTCGCCCGGAAGCGCGGGTATAAGAGTAAAATCTTCGACGTCCGCCGGATTTTTCAACGTTCGTTATTTAACGACGCCCGGGTCAGTAAAAAGTGACAATGAGTCGCGACGTTTTGCTCGATTTAGCGCTTAAAAACAAAAAAAAAAAAGGACGAGCTCGGTCCGATAACAGTTGATTGACAGCGATCCTTTCGATCTCGCGCAGCCGCCGTCGTCGCTTGCGCTTTCCTCACACGCTCCTCCTTCGTGTGCGCTTGTACACGCTACGAGCTCTTACCGTATTATAACAAATAACGACGGCTACTTATTATCGTGTTATTTAGTCGATGATTATGTACAGTGCAATATCAGTGCGCGAATAAAAAGCACTTTCTCAATATGTCGCACGAACTTGCGCGCGCGCGTATTTCTTAGCTAGTCGTCGGGGAGAAAAAGTTCCTCCCGCTTCTCTCGTTTCTTCTTGCTCCTCTTTCGTGTTCTTCGTATTGGCAGTAGTTTTGTGCTTCTGTGTGTGTGTGTGTGTGTGTGTGTATGTGTGGAAGTTTAGTTGTAGCGACGTGCTTAGGTGTAATAGTTCTCTCTTTGCTGATAAAGCGGTAAAGAAGCCACGGGCGAGAGATCCTCGTCGTCTAAGCTCGATTCCGTTTTCAGAGGAAGCGTTGCTAGAGCTTTCACTGTTGATGAACGAGATAAAGCAATTGTAATAAATTATAAATTATTAATATTATAAATCAGCACGTTTATTGAAAGCGAAATCTTGCTAGTTCCAACTTTTACTGTTTTATGTATTTTTTTTTTATTTCTCGATTCAATTGTATACAATTACAATTTATATCTCGACTATTCTTATGAATTATTTTATCGTAATCGTTTGCAATATTCCAATAAACGTTGACATAGACGGAAGTAACATTGAATTTGCTCAGCCTGATCGTGGGAGAAAAATAGGCGAAAGAAAGACGAAAAAAAAAGATGAAAAAACAAACCTGAAAATGATAATGTGACGTGCGTGTCCTATAGGGAGGGATGGAGTAAGCATGGCGTGGTCAGTGTGCCTGGTTACCTATACACAAGCACAAAAAAACAATCCAAAACAACAATCCAAACTCTCTACGATGAAATTATAATTCGCTGTCCTGAACGAAAGCCATCGATAAAATCATTAAAATTGTAAAAAAAAATAGCACATACATAATTCAGATAATACATGCGTGTCCGCATAATGTGATAATATTACACGGGAAGAACAATTTTACCGAATCCAGATCTGAAAATAATTTTTGTTCAATATTCAAAATAATTTTGTGTGAAAGTCAAAGTGATTGCTAGAATATCAAAATGTTTTATAGCAATGCATATCAGTTTTAACATTACAACAAATTATTTTGGTGATTCAACAAAAAATTATTTTCAGTTCTGTTTTTGGCAAAATTTTTAGATCTTTCAACAAAATCGTTCTTTCCGTGTACGTGAACGTATACAATATAACGTAAATCGCTCAAACTTGAAATGAACATTGAAAACGAGTCGCGAAACGCTTCTATATATAAGCGATAGAAAAATAAAAATGTTTGTATCAGCGATAATAAACGATAGGAAAAGTGAAAAAAAATTGCTTGATTGATCGAGCGTGATGAAAGAAATATACGTTCTTTGCTTTCTGAAAGCTAAACGAAACGAGCATGCTAAACGAAACGAGCACCGTAGACGTATAAACGATTACAATCATGCACAGATTGCATTTGGCATATTATCGACACGTACCCGCTACCATTTTACTTTTCTCCATCACTTGCTTCGCCAGTATCTGATTGAGCTGAAGAATGTGTTCCCTCTGCCGTTTCTCTTCCACCACTTTGCGTTTCAAGGTGTCTGATTTTTCTACGTTAGAATCATCGTCTGAAATTGCATGTGCATATTTATAGAATTATTTTCATAGTCATTATCACAGAAAATGTTAAATAATTAGAGAAAAAAATTGCGTACCGCCACCTTCCGGTGCGGTCACGGTTGTTTCCGAGAGCATTTTCCTAATCGCTTCCGCCTTCTTTAAGCGTTGCTCCTGCTCTTCCGCTGTTAGCTCCGGCGTCTGAAAAATTAATAGCATATATTATAATATATGTATAATATAGAGTTTAATTTAGTTAAATTTAATTTATTTAATAACAATTTAATTATATTATTTATATAATTCTTCTTCAATTATGTATATCGAAGAGAAGAATTATATAAATAATATAATTAAATTGTTATTATTTTTGTTGATATCTCTCATAATTAAATTATCATTTATTCTGAAATTAAATTAAAATTAAATAATATAAATTTCTAATATATAATCTCTTCAATTTTTAATTACGTTAAAAGCAGAGTGTAATTAAATCTTCGTGAAATAAATACCTGCTCAGGAATATATCGCTCGGGAATGACAATCTTATTAGGCGTGCCTAACAGCTGGTCTATGGTACTCTCGTTATACTTCAACTCCTTGTGACTTAACGTCGATCGCACCACGTCAGGGGCGTTTATCCTCGGTCTCAGCGCTCTTTCCATGTCCAGATCGTCCCTGGCTCTACCCATACCCTAGAAATTGTCAAAGAATACCCGTAAACGTATGACCAAAATATCAGGATTTTCAAAATTGCCACGATCGGCAATAGAACGTGGCAAAGCGCAGCGATGAAAGCGAGTGAGGAAGTAGACAAAGTGAAACATAGGTAGACAGGGAAGTGAGAAAGAGGAAGAGAAAGAGAAAGAGAGAGAGAACAGAAATTGAATGAAACAAACAAAAAATACCATCTTCGAGAAAGTATCCTCTAGATCGAGCACCGGTTTGCTACTAGACACGGTGTAGTGCCGCCTTTTCTCGCGAGGTATTTGCCTCCTTCTCGGTCCCTCCACCCTCTTCTCCGTCATCTCTTTGATAATCTGTTTGGCAGCCTCGCTCTTGAACACCGGCGACAATTGCGGCGACTCGGATTGGTTCGCGTTCGCCGTCGGCGCGGCGGCCGGTCTGTCGTGAGTGCCGCCGACCGCGTTAGTCGGCGACGTTAATTCGGGGCTCATGGCGCCCGCGAGAGTGCCGATTTTCTCGTATTGCCTGTACGGTCCGTGCGAGTAGTTGTGATAGTGAGACTGCGCGGCGGCCGCCGCCGCCGCTTGCGACGGATAATTCTGGCTCTGGCACGACGGGCTGTACGACGAGGCGGTGGAGTAGTTGGGCGAGCTCATCGGCACGTGAGAGCTGGACGTAGGACTGTCCGTGTACGGTGACAAAGTGCTATCGGAGCTGCCGTCGTGGCTTTCGAACTGCGGTGGAGCGTCAGAAAAAAAAATTGTAAAACGCCGGGAGATCGAAACGGGAGTAACGAAAACGGGGGCGGGCGAGACGAGCGGCGGGATATTGCTCGGGATAGAACGAAATCGTCTTGGCGAAATTCGCAAATATATAATTATATAAATGTACACCAACGAACGTGGGGAAGTAGAGATTTTGTTGTACGGGGCGACCTGAGGGGGGGTGACCTGAAATTGTGTCTTTCGAGCATTGAAAGTTGTCGACAGGACTTACCCTAATCTTATGCCGACGCGCCATCATGCTCTTCAGGGCGTGCATGCTGTCGCTTCGCGGTGGAGGTACCACGGGGCCGTAGGGTATCCCGGAGTGCTGTTTTTGTCCACCGAAACCACGTGGCAGAGACATGCTTCTTTGGAAATGAACGTCGTCCAGCTCGGACAGCTGACCCGTGCTCTGCGCGTGAACGATCGGCGATTCCTCCACCACTCTGCCCAGCTGAGCTTTCTATACATGTTAAAAGATATGCGTTAGCACGAATCGAAAGAAACCTATGTTTTTCTCCCGGTCTGTTTTTATCGAGGGGTCAACCATTACTAAAAAAAAATGTACAGTGATTGCGAATTATGGCAGTAAAACACACTTTATTGCTACAGTGTTGCTATTGCATTACTTTCGTATTGTCAGTAATATTGCCATCTGTTACTTCGTGTACTGTCACCTATTGCACAATATTGCCAAGTATTGCTAATGTATTGCTAGGTATTACTCGAGATATTGCTATGTATTGATAGCGTATTGTATTGCCGCAATACTAGCAATATATATTCCTAAAAATAGGTACACTGATTCCCATAGTGGTTGACCCCTCGGTTTTTATTAGATTTGAGCATGTGAAAGGCCGCGAATAATCAAAGGCAAAGCGATATATATATATATCTCACTTCGAATTTTTGGGAGCCTCCGAAATCATCGTCGGACAGTCTCTTCGCGCCGCCCGGCGCTTGGAGGCCGTTCGTCATGGGAATCCCGATATTGCCGGTTCTGTCGCCGCGGTCCCTCTGTCGCCTCTCCGACTCGCGTTTCACTATGCGTACCGTTTTGATCTCTTGCTTCTCGCGACTGTGCATTAATCCTGCAAGGGCGCGAAGAGAATGAAATTTTCGACATGTGTCAGACATTAATGTTTCCGCGGGCAGAAACGGGCGACTCACTCACCGGCGAATTTGTTGTCCTCGTTTTGTCTGTAATTATCATTCAGCAACAATGCCTCCTCGGTCAGAGGAGGCGGCGGCGGCGGCGGGATGTATTCCGGAGCAGGATTCGGCGTGCCATTCAATATAGTTCCGTTATGCTTGCTCGTGTCGACGATGTAATCGCCTTGCGTTAAAAATACAAATTGATACTTGAATTCGGAATTATCAAACGACCACGCTAATTGCTATTAATTGCTGTTTCCAAATAAATGGACGTAAATATCTGGACGCGTTAATATCGCGATACGATAGATTCTCGCATAATTCAACAAGAATATTACCTGCTACTCTACTCGAATCCGTATTAACGTACAAAGGCACCACTTGAATCGTGCTACCCTTGCCCTGCATTTGATCCTTCAACAATTGTTGCTTTAATTGGTGTTGTTGAATTTGCTCGCGCAGCTGCGGCGAGAGCGTCGATATGTGATTTTGTGAGGGTTGTACGAAGGACTGCTGATTATGCGGGCGATTCAACGGGGATAAGTCCTTGTACTGCGTAGGAGAGCCGTATCGCTGGTGATGAGAGCTGTCGTTTTGCTTGTTCGGGGGTGAGATAGACAGAGACGGGCTCGACGGCGAGTCCAAACCGTGGTCCAGGGTTATTCCGGAATCCAAATCGGTCTCCAGCCAGGAATTTTGCGTACGTTTCTTCGAATGGTGCACCTGAGGAGCTAAGGGGGAAAAATTGCATCTTTTAAGCATTTATGCATCGTTCTCTTTTCATGGAGAATATGCGTCCCGATGTTATAATAATATTTAATAAGTAATTAGCTGTCGATAAATATAATATACTCCTTTATTTGCAATTATATATTTGTGTAGATGTATATAAGAATAAGAATTATGCACTTACTATTGATTGAAATAATTTTTTTAAGATATCAATTTATTTAGATCAAGTCTGCCCAACACTTTACTCGTGAGAGCTAAACGCTTTCACCTCTCTTCCATCGTCCCTTTGAACGAGACAGAGAGAAAATAAAAAAGAATAGACGCTAGAGAACTCTGCCCAGTAACTGGCGTTCAACGAGACAGAGAGGAAACAAAAAAAAAAAGAATAGACGCTAGAGCTCTATCTAGTTTTTTTTTTATTTTTTCTCCATTTGCCTCAACGAGACGAAGGAGAGGTCGAAGCGTTTAACTCGCGAGCCAAATGTTCAAGTCTGATTCAAATAAACTAATAATAAATTTTGATTAATACAATGACAATTTATTGCAATATAAATTTTATAGTCTTTGACTAATTGTTCAACTAAGTTTGAGTGGATCTTCGGAGTCACAGGCTCTTGAGGTCTTTTTAAAATTTCCGACGATTTCGACACCTTACATTGTCGGCACTCACCGTGCGGTGGCTGCGGACGAATTTGCTGCACCAAACTGTGAGATTTCTCCGTCAGTTGGCGAACTTGAATGCTCAACTCCTTCCTCTGTCTCTGCAGATCGCCGACGAGTTGTTGCACTCGTCGTAATTCCGCTTCCAGCGGTGCGGTCGTGCTCGAGGTGTCCCGCGCGACGTTACCGGCGTATCTTCTGGATGCTTGCACCTTTTGCCTCAGCACCACCAAATCTTGCTCCAATCTCGCGTTCTCGGCGACCGTTTCCTCGAGTTTCTGAAAGCACAGCGGAGAGAGTCGCGCGGGCTGTCCTGTCAGGGTTGGAGAACGCGCTAGTCTTTGAACAACTATATAGTCGACTGTCGCACGACCGAGAATGGCAACTAAACGGCGAACAACGGAACCGAAATTGGTATATAATGTTGTGAATAATGCAATTTACCTGGAAGAATACCGGTTTTACCTGGAAACAGTGAATCGAGACTTTAATTGCGATACGTAATGCGATCTATTCTCGTCATTTAAATTCTCTCGTGCTACCGGCTATACACTATCTTCTCGTGTTACTATTATCCTCGCGATATCGCGAATTCAGGTTGCAAAGGATGAACAATAAAAGGCAAACTAAATAGAAGCGCGCGGTGAACGTACACTTCAATCAAATATCCGTTGATAAACGAGTAACTCGCGAATCAAAAAAATCTCCTATTAGCAGAAAACATCGGCGGCAATGATGCGCGCTTGCATATTCAATACGTTTCACGACGTTAAAAAAACATACGAAGAATGACGAGCAGCAATTACTCGCATTTTGAAATCCAGATTGACGCGCAATTTACTTGTTTTTCCGCCAATCAGCCCGCACCGTTTTTAATAATGGATCCGCGCGCTCGCGATCGGGTCGATCGGGACCCGCGCGAGGGAGAGCGGAAGCGCGCGTGTGTAGCGACCGTTACGGTGGGAAGGGGAGGGGAAGAGAAGGGGGGGGGTACATTTTCGAAATTATCTACCTTCGAATTATGAGCGAGCAGTATCCTCACTCTGCTCAGTTCGCGCTCCAACAGGAGTTGCTGCTTCCGATATCGCTCCGCCTCGGCCAAATTGCTTCTGCTACCTTGCAGTTTGTGCCGCAGCCCGCCCAAAGCCTTCTCGAGTATTTCCTGCGAGCATTAAGTCGACCAGGCGTGTAATGCGATACAGTAGATTTCTATATCTCGGGATTAAGGGCAACTGCTTGTCATTTCGCAGTTTATCGTTACAACGTCGTTTCAAGCAAATAACGACACTGGGCTCTCCTCTAGGATGTAATGGATATCGTCTCGAGACGTTTTCGCGTGGGTGAGATTACGATCGAAACTCCACGCGCTTAAAGTCAAATTCGATGGAATGTGGTTTTTAAAAATATTACAGAATGTGTTTCTTCTGAAGGAAACCCGAGAGATTTCCGTACATCCGTAAATTTGGCCGGAAGGGATATCAATTGCATTTTTGAAGCAATATATCGAAATTTTTCGCAGCAGTTTAAAAGCTCCATTCCGAGTTGTTATGTCGATACGAACCTTGTCCTGCTGGAGACTATGCAGCGTGCCAGATTCCTCCTGGAGCAGCCGATCGAGTTTGTAGAGCTGCTGCACTTTAGCCTGCGACACAGAAAGGATATCGAGTGAACTACGAAACCTTCAAGTTTCGCTTGTTCAAAGGACAAGCTAGCGTTTCAATTGGTGCAGATCTCGGGGAAAAGCGAGAGATCCCGCCATCGTTAATTCCAGAACAACGTTCCAGAACCTCTGTTTTCTCGGCGCCAGTCTCCATTCCTGGTCCGTAAATGAAATTCTTTCACGTGTAAAAAAGGTTCTCGTCCATGTTGGTCAAAGAGACCATTTTATTTCGACAATATATTTTCGATAATATTATTCCGATAATTTTATTACATTCGATAATAAGCTTAGTGACACATAATTTTAATTTATTACAATAGCCATTATATTTTCCTTATATGTAGCAATTATTTTAAACCTCTTTGAAGTCAAACACACTATACGAGACTAATTAGCAAATTAAATATTATTATAAAATATAAAAGAAGAAAGACATTTTCTCATTATCTTTCTTATTCATTTTTATTTTTTGTTTGTCGCATGGAGAATGCATTTGCACGAAAGTAGATTAATTCTGTTGTATATAGTTGATTAAGTTTCGACCGATAAACGATGTTGTCGAAAATTCTCGAGGACTCACAATCAGGACGAAAATATAAGAAAGAAACGAGACGTAAGATACTAAGTGGACACTGTCCGTAGAGACTTGACTCGTCTGGAAAGTATATCCTTCGGTAAAGTGAGCTCTTCGCAGAATTTACGAGGAGTCGTAAGTGTCGTCCGAGTTTCGGTCTCTCTTTTTCTCTCTCTCTCTCTCTCTCTCGCGCGCGCGCGCGCGGTTGTACCTGCGAGGGTAATTCTTAATTTTTGCACGTACCCTTTTTCCGATCGACCCTTTACAACCTATCGCGGACGCTTAGCGTTATAGCACGCGGGAGATCGGGAATTGCTTTCATTGGTCAGGAAGACTTCCACGTCCGATTCGCGCCTCATGCTTTCTTAGCACGGTGTATTACGTCGCGGAAAGAATGTAATAATACGAAACGTAAGAGAGACAGAAATTGGAACGAGTCAAACATACCTCATGGGCGGTGATCCGACGTGATTGAAGAAAGCGAAGAATACTCGAGACATTCCGCTTGTAAGATCGCACACTTTTATAATTAACGCATTTTTTTTCGAGATGAGATTTCTAACGCCCCGCGCGAAAGTAGGAATTGCTTAAGAATCCCGATTGAACAATCGTTTCCATCGCATAAATTTAATGTCGAGGATTTTTCGTGGCACGGCAACTAAATGAATTTATACCTGCAATTGTCCGTGATCGGGACTCAGCCTGTCCCAATCCCTGCGCTCCTCGGCCAACAGTCGCTGCTCCTGCACTCTTTGGTTAAATTCCAAACGGTCGCGATGATCCCTCGCGCTCTCGTGCATCAGGTCGTGTCGAGAACCGGAAACATTGCTGGTCCCGTTGGCAGTGTTACGATTGTATAAAGAACCCAGCTTCACCATATTGTCCACGAGGTTCACGAGAGGCTTGCTCTTCTCGTACTTTTTGGGGGGGGGAGGAGGAAAGTCAAACATGATTAAATTTAGAGTCCTCTTTACCCAAATATATTAACGCTTAAAAACGCTTTAAAATTAATTAAAAAGTATTAAATCAATATTTTAATTCCACACACGGAGAGAATTTTCTTTTAAAATTTAACTTGAAAATCATATTAATCATAAGACAACATAGTATTTCGACAAATTTTATGTGATTTTCTATTTTTTTTTACTGTGCACTATACAATAAATTTGTTGTAGTATATATTTAAAAAAATATTGAAAATAACATAAAATTTGTCGAAATACTAGATATGTTGTCTCATGATTAACATGATTTTCACGATAAATTTTAAACTTGATTCTTCGATTCTCGATAACGTTCAATAATGCACGGAGAATTTTGTTTCATAAGAATTAAGAAGAATCAAGTTTAAAATTCGTGGCGGTGATCTCAGTCACTTTTTAAAAGTCTGAGAAAATTATAATTCTAGTCAATCTTTTTTCAACTTTCATATTAATTTCGCTCGAATTTTCAAAGAGAAATTTTCAAAGCTGTATCATCCTTTAAGCTACTGATTACAGAACCCATTGTTTCGTATCTACGTGAATAATTCGAGACAGATCCTCCGCAAGGTATCTCCCACGTGATAAACGTGTCTCACCTGCTTCTCGAGATCCATCAGGTGCCTCTTGAGTTCCTCGAGTTTTTGAAGATTTTCTAGCCGCCTCGGCGTGTCGAGATCCGCCAGTCTAGCCTGCGGGTGCAAACAAAACATACGAAAGGTTTATCGCGCTGCATCAGGAGTCCCTTTGTTCCTCTCCGCGTGCCGAAACAAACAACATATTCGCATTTTCGCGCGTTAAAAGCGACACACACACGTTACTCCGTGACATACAGCACAAAAGCCGAACAATAATGCAACGGACACATATTTGCGTAGAAAGGCGACCCTAAGTTCGACTCGACTTTCACCTCGAATCTCGCACGTCGCGAGATCACAGGTGTATGTTACAAGTGTCTACGTCCCACATTTGACGCTAAACATAGCCGTCTGATAACGTTTTCCAAGATCGTGACTTTTTTTTATTTTTATTTTTTATTTTAATCCATGAAACTCCGAGTTTTTCTTTCGATTCGGCGCTAAATATAGGACGTGAAAGAACCAATATGTATCGCGCTTGCCTAGCAGTCAACTACACTTTGCGGATATCGCGAAGTCCGTAAAGCGCAATTGAATACGTTCAATCCGTTTATTTGCGCGCTACGAGAACGTTACGTCACGTCGTCAACGATGAAAGAAACGACGTCGATCGCTCATACTGTATCATCGTCACGTGGATTCGCAGTCTGCGTGCATCTACAACAACATCTATATTCTAACACATCCTGAAAGATCTCGTCCAACTGCACGGTCGTCTGTCAATGCGAATTATCATCCCTCTTTCTCTCTTCCTCTCTCTTTCTCTCCCTCTCTTTCTTTTTCTCTAACATTAACGGTCGTTAAAAAAGCGAGTTCCTCGAGCTGGTCGAGAAGCCTCCTATACGACATCCTCCAGACGGCTCCGGTTTGCGGAGCCTAACGGGGCGCCCCACGACCGCCACCGCCACCGCCACCGTCACCGTCATCCGTGGATCATCTAATTACTGTGAAAATTTCGTGAGATCGCGTGCAAAGTGCTCTCTTCGGACCTGCGCCTCGATTTCCATGTGGCACGTCTCCATCGCCTTGAGGACCGTCGCGTTCTGCCGTCGTAGCTGGATCAGCAGCAGCACCAGTTCCTCGTGGGTCCTGCCGAGGAGCTCGCCGGCGGAGACGCGCACCAGTCCGGACGCGCCTGCAGCCTGCGTCACCAGCCTGCCGCCGGCATCCGCTCGCAGGGAGCTGATGTTACTCTGTCGAGGCATGCAATCGTCCGTTAGCCACACACGCAAACAAACGCAGGGCAATCGAGCTGTGACATACGGAATTGTTATACGGAATTGTTTATACGGGGCCGCGGGGACTGCTCGGGGGGGATCGCGTGCGAGTTTTTCGCCCGGCGGAGAAATGAGAGGACGAGGACTTTTTATTAGAGAAAGCAGCATAATAAAAGCGACGGATTTAATCTCGCAACTACATACAGCGGGACGCATCGAGCGTACGTATGGATTTGATTGGCATGGGAGAGGAGAGAAAATTCCATTCGTATCATCGACGATATCAGTACGAGCTAAATTATCATCAACATTTCACAGCTGCGCCAATACGGGGTTTGCAGCAGCGGCAGAATATTATATAGCTGTTGTCCCGGGTCACATTCGATTAAGTGAGATCTTTCAGAATATGCAATATTAACCGTTATTTTATCATCGACATATTTTTCTCTCTCTCTTTCTTTTACGTTATACTCTTTGTTTTTTTGCCTACGTAAATCAATAAACTAGCGCGACAATATAATAAAGACGTGCATACAAAATATACATATATATGTATATACGCGGCCGTCTGGTCTCGCTGGGCCATAATAAAACACGGTGGTAACTGGCCGCGGAAAACAGATTCCACGTGAATGCGGGAAATAGAGAATGCGGCGAGCCGCATTGGCCCGAATTAGATGGCCCGTTTATAGTCGTATCGAAATTTCATCCGGCGGTTGCAGGTTTTACGTCAGATTGTGCCTTGCGCGAGATTGTACGCAAACTTTTTAACTGCTGGAATTTCTCTCGAGGCGAGAGCCTAGGCGAGAGCGCAGGACGGAGGGATTACCGCTTACAGCCGATCTCGCCCCCCCCCACCCCCCCCGGTCTGCCATTTTGCATTCGTCCCCGCCGTGTTCCAAAACCGCTACGTTTTAGTGGCTTTTACGGTTGGATTTTGTGGCGGCTTGAGAGGCGAGGCGCGAGGCGGATACACCCGCGACCTCGTGTAATACGACCAAAGGTAACGGCGACGTAAAGTGGAACGCGATACAAACAATTGCTGAAATAACAAAACGGTTATCGAGAAATAATTTGTTTAATATTTACGCGAGGCAAATGGTAAATTAATAATAATAAAATGACACGCTATCAATTTACGAGTAACTGCGTTCGTCATTGAACCGAGTATTTACCCGCATTTACGTCAAACAACACCCGTTCGTGTATCGATATTATTTCGTCTCACAGCGAAATCCAGGATTTATTTCCAGATCGCGCGCGTAAAAATATCTCTTTAAAATATTATCTCCTACATTCGCGCCGCTCGGTACGAAAAGTACCGGCGTGTAAGAATCTACAAACGATATAAGTATTCACTCTCTGACCGTTTCCTTTCTTTCACTCGCTCGTCCTCTGTCGATTTTTAAAAAATAACTCACTTCACAGACGGCCGTGTTTATCCGTAACGTTTCGAGTCTCTCAAGTAATTTCGAAGCTTCGAGCAAATTGGCCGAACAGTCGTATTTCTCGGCGAGAATTTCTAAAGGTCGTAGAAAAGCGAGGCGGAAACGGAGGGCGCGCCCGTAGTTTTCTATTACTTTCCAATTTTCTAATACGAGGCTCTCTTTGCCGAGGGGAGACGAGCCAGAGGCGGCGTACAAATTCTCATAGACATATCGACACGGACGAGCGCAAACAGATACAGGTCACGCCGCAAGCGTTCGATGCACGTATAGCACGTTTGCGGCGATCGAGGGAACGGGCGAGGATTCCGTCCGGCGAAACGGCGTACGAATGAAATTCGAGGGCAATCACCGTTGGATCGTGGATTCTCTTCGTATACAACAAACGAACAACGTACGCCTTCTTTATTTTAACAGACAGGTCCCAAAAGATAGCCCGTATATAGATACGCTCTTCGCATTCCGCCCGGAATCTCTTTGCCGATGGCGAGTATCACTCTCCGCGCGAGGTCTCCGAAATCTGTATTCGCGGGATATACCGGAGCAAAGAGATTCGGTGGCATTCTCCCCGCGAGGGAATCGTCGCTCGGCGAATCCTGAATTCTTCGCCACCGCTTTGAAGTAAACGTCAACATGACCGCGCGCGCGAGGCACGACGTACATACGTAGCGCATCGCGCGAAAAGGAAAGGCACGCTCACGCTTGCTCATCGTATCGCCAAGGACAATTCCTCCTTGAGCAAGCAGGCACCGCGGTTCTCGCGGAGAGCCAGGGGAGAGTTTTTCAATTTGCCGCATTCTATTCGGCTCAATCAGGCGACTTTTATATTTTTTCTTCCTTTCACCGTAACTCTATCAAATGTGCCGTAAACGCAGGGAGACATAAAAGATATATTTCTTCTCTTTTAATGTCTACGTGAAAGCATCCACATTTCACTTCCTCGAAAGTGCGCAAACAAAGCATGAGGTCCTCAAGTTCAACGGAGTTTAACGGAGAGATCCTTGTTCCCGCCGGATATCCGCATTAAACACCGTCTAAATCCGTCCAAACACATCTTCGGAATGTTCAACAATAGATCTCCAGAGATCACTCTTTCCATCCTTCCTAATTTCAAATCTTTAACTTCAAACGAATATCTCGAACGGAGTTACTTGATCGCGCTCCAGAGATAGGAACCTACATACCGTGGCGTCTCGAGTCTCTTCTACTTAACGCGTTACCTGTTTGAGTTCGTTTGGGCTCTCCTAACGTCTTCCTCTCGCGAATCGGTCCAGTGGATGGGGGGATGCTTCGCAGATTCGCAGAGAAAATGAAGAAACTTCCACGGCGAGCTTGCGAGTCGCGCGTCGGAGTGACGTACATGTATACGGGACGCGGTATGGCGCGCGTCGAGCGACGCTTCGGCGGGCGGACTGGCGTCATGCCCGGTCGGGATCGGCTAGCTTGTTCGCCGACCGGCCGGCTGCATAGTGTGCATCGCCGCAGCTTGCCCGGTTCGCCCGGTACCCGGCCTTTTTCTACCTTTTGCCCCCGAAGGGCCCCGGTCGTCCCTCGACCACACGCGGGTATGCTCGCCGACAAAAGTTCGGATGCTTGCAGGCCTCGTCTTCCTTCTCCGCTTCTGGCACGTCACGACTCTCTCATCACGCGGATGTTCCCCTATCGACTTCCATTAGCCGTTAGAACGATGACGCCGATCTTACACACAGACGACGATCCACAGCACGCGGTTAACGGACGTCTCGCGTGTATCTCCCTGCGGGGATATGACGCGGCCCCGACGTGTTCCTAAGATGCGCGAGGTGTCGATTTACGCGGGAAGATGATTCGCGGTTGCGTTACATCGCGGCTCGATCGACGAGCGACGGGGAGGAAAATGATACTTTGCGACTTTGCGTTTCTGTAATGTGATCGCGGGATGGCGGTTAAAACGCGAGACGCAAATTGATTTTCGAATACTATTCTTTCATTACGTCTGCGAGCTGCTGTTGAAAGTGGAAGAGGAGAAATTAGATATCCTCGCAAAAAGACGAGAGTTTAAGATTTTTCTGACGGCTTTTATTTTGTGTGCTTATATTAAAAAAAAGAACTTCCAAACCTGCGCGTTCACGTTGCAACGCGGTGTCACTTCACATTACAGACGGCGTTTCGCAAATTTGCATTGCACCGCGGTGATAACGTATTAACGTCGGGGACTATTTTCCTATACGATAAGACTCATCGTGCGGGGAGCGACGATGAATCTGTGCGGCAGGATGAAAGCCGTGCAGCCGTCATGCGCAGGCGACGGGATTCATTGTGGACGGAGCTTAAGACTCCCGTCTGCAGTTCCTTGGCACGGTGCCCTTGCTGACCGGTGCTGACCGTATGCAGGATCGACCCTGGACCCCATGTTTCTCGGTTGTCTTTTTCTCCGCCGTCTCCGTCGCTCTCTTCGCCTCTCCTTTCTCCCTCTTTCCCTCCGGTTCGCTCGCCCTTCTCCTCCTCCTCCTCCTCCTCCCTCCACCCTCCCTCTCTTCGTCCTGGTCCTCTCTCGCCGCCCTTCACCGCTCCATTGTATGTAATGGCGCCAGGACGACGACACTCGGGTCGTTACTTTCTTGCCTCCCTCGCGCGTGTATACCGCGCGTTCGAGATAAGCGCGCGTTAAGAAAACGATGGGTTTCCGTTCGCCGAATTTCGCCGTTTTCGCGGGGCGAAAAATCCATTTCTCGTTCCTGGGCCCGAATCTCCGGCTGTTGCGGGAGAGGCCGCGAAATCGTGCCCGAAGAATGCCGTCCGGCAGGATTGTTTGTAGCGCAAAACTTGTAAACTCTCCTCGAGCCGCGCTTAGAATTTTACGACGCTGCGCTTGCATACCGAAAGAGCGACTTTGAAAAAAAAAGATGTAGAGCACAATCGTACGACTCCATTAGATTTCCACGTTACTTCAATATTTACGATCGCGAGTCTAAACGGAAAATCTTCGGCGGAATTTTGTTCTCGATCGATATTTGGTTTCGTTTGTCCCGTGTTAATTTTTGATCGCAAGATCACGACCCGCTGCGTTTAATAAACGTCAACGAGACCTATTTTCGTATTCGCGACCAATATGGATCAACGTGATTCGCGTTCCGTAAATTATGAGAAATTCATCGGCGGCAACTTCATCGGAATTGTTTGCCGCTTTGAAAAATCGAAAGCGCGCGCCGGTGGAAATGGCTCGCCTCGCGTTTACGATATACCGTAGCGCGAACGTTATCAATCCCGTTCACATTACGACCGTGTGTGTAACGTGCGAAGGTGCTAGTTTCTCTCTCTCTCTCTCCCTCTCTCTCTTCCTCTTGGGGCAACATTTTAATTAATTGAGCTAATGGAATTTACATGCTGCGATGATGATATGCAGGCTACACCGCGTCAATAAAACGGACAGCGTGTGGTATGTGGGTGTGTGTGTACGTGTGTTTGCACGATAAAGACATAGAGACAGTTAATAGGTAAAAGCAGCAAAACCGACAGACCCGTCGATCGTGCAACGTCCGGGGGCGGGAAAATTCGCCATTTTGTTTCTCGTAATCCGATCCCGGCGGCGGTATAACTCGAGCCATCGTATTGTACATGTCGGGAGGGATTTTCAAGCTCTTCGCCTTTTTATGCGGACGATAAACTCGCGACTCGCGAACGCGAACGCTACCGTGCAACGTAATGCGTATAACGTAATTTATTTTTACGAGCCGGAAGATTAGCGGGAGAGTAAGCTGTACGCTCGTAAACAAACCGCAAGCAATTTGCGAGAATGTTGGACTTTTACCCGCGGAACCGAACCGAATCGCCGCCGTCAGGATGTCAGCGATCGCGCCGGTCGCGGCGGCGAGAGTGGCGGCCGATGCCGATACAGGTGACACTTTTACGAAGCGCGCTCGCGCACGTTTCGCAATCGTCCTCCGGCCATAAATTTCCCGTTTTGCGGTGGCCGGCCACCGCGACGACACGGCCGCGGTTAATTCACGCGCGCGACCGTTGCACGATCGATGCCGCGAATGGACGCGCGAATTTCCTCTCTCCATCCATCATGCTCTCTGCCATGCCAATTGGGAAATCGACGGGGCGCTCTTTCGCGCCGGAGGCGTTAAGGCGACACGTCGCCCGTCGCGTTTGCTCACCCTTTTATGTAGCAGCTCGCTGCAATCCGCGCGTGGTCGCTGCTGCTGCTGGACCTGCTGTCTCTGACCCGCCGTCATCGTGCCCCCGCCGCGGTCGACCTCCCTGCCGATCGGGCTGATCATTTTTCTCTCGCCTGCGGAGCAGAAAGAAGGAGATAAGTTACGTGGAGAGAGAAAGCCGCACACACGGCGCGCGCGAGAGGAAACGTCGGAAAGCCGCTGGAGGAGGAAGTCGCGTATTTCTGAGCGTGTCGTAACGAGCGAAAGGATATATACGAGACCGGAAATTCTATCGGAATTGACTGATATTCCCGAAGATTTTTTCTTTGTTCTTTCCCCCCCCCTTCTCTCCCTACTTTGCTCGCGGTCTCAGCGGGATAGCGGAAAAAAATTGTAATAACGAGCGAGCAGATTGACTTTCTCTTTAATCACGTGAATTACAGTCGTTTGTATTTGCGCCTTAAAAGCGCCGGAGCTACTGTCGGAGCTATCTGGCCTTTCGTTATGGTTCTGTACGTCCATTGTACGGGATGTCACAGGCGTTACCGTTTTTCAACCGCGGGTCATCGTGGAATTTCTCCGAGGAACTTTTTAGTATAGTGTTTTCTTAGCGCGAATTTAATGCGACAAATTAACGACTTTTTAATACTATATTTCAACGATGAAACTATAAATTAATGTTTTTTTTTTTTGCTTCATCGTAAATTCAGTTCCGCTCACTTTTTTCCAATATCTTTAAAAGATATTGAGGTATCGATATTGAGACATTAGCATATTTGTTCACGACTTCCATTATCTGCGGCTGGACTGGAACGATAATGGATCTGGGACGCCCTGTATATAGGATATTCAAATGCCTACAGAAGCTGTTCCGCAGCTGCGACCGTTAGACGCGTCGTAAAACGGAGAAGCACGGACTTCCGTCTAACGCAGAAAATTGCGCAGCTATTGTACCTATACAGATACAATCGGATTGCACGAAGGAAATTCTTGCTGGACCGTGGTATTTAGATTGCGGTGCTTCCTCCATTCTTGTGGATGGACGATATTCCGCCCGAAGATATCGCCCACGTTCCTGCTGTCCAAAAAAAAAGAAACTACAATAATGTTCTTCCAATTTTCCTAGCGTCGCAATCGCTCAGATTCGATTCTCCAAACAGTGCGAGATATCGCGATCAAAGGGCAGAAAGGAAAGAATTGACTGAAACTCGTATTGCATAATCTGCACTCACCATCAAAATGCTCTTTCGTTAAAAACTTAAGGTTTTTTTTTTGTAAAGGAACTCTTCGAAAAGGAACAACGGATGGTGTAATTGTGATTTCTTTTCCATAATTAAAGCCGCCGCGTAATGTTCGCGCGATGATATTGCGCAACCTCAATCCGTGTGTTCCTCCGTGGTTGAATTATCCGAAGCCCGATATCGATCATGCGTACCTTTGCGTAGTTAGGCGGGGCGTACGGATGCACACACACGGGATTTCCATTATTCCGCGTTGTGCATTAGACATGGAGGCGGCGCACAAGCCTTACCGGGACACCCACCGCCGCCGCCACGGATCCTCGGATAATTAACCCGGGCGCCCGCTGAAATTCTCGACCTAAATTTATGTGCTTTTCAGGCGGTTCGGCAATCTCGCGATTCGGAGCAGACGTTAAATCGCCGCTTAATCTCGCGGGTATTAATCGCTCATCCGCCAAGCGAGGCTCCGTTCATCACTCGTAAGTTCGCGCGAACCAAGTGCTCCAGACGAGCCGGTTAGAGAGACGAGCCGCTTTGAATATTAGAGAGGCAGAGATTTGCCGTATAATGATATATATTACATTGAATATGTAACATAATTTGAATTATATATTAATTTATTTATTATTAATTTATATATATTAATTATATTCACGGAAAGAACAATTTTGCTGAATCCAGATCTGAAAATAATTTTTGTTCAATAATCAAAATAATTTTGTGTGAAAGTCAAAATGATTGCTAGAATATCAAAACGTTTTATAGCAATACTTATCAGTTTTAACACTCCAAAAAATTATTTTGATGATTCAACAAAAAATTATTTTTAGATCTGTATTTAGCAAAATTTTTAGATCTTTTAACAAAATCGTTCTTTCCGTGTAATAATAAGGCGAAAGAGACATATTTTTATATTCGTTATATTCTTGCTGATTTTGTGTATGTTTTATAAAAATAGACCATTATTTTTTCGTGCCAAAAACTTTTGCAATAACCACAACGTTCCTCCGTGCTGCGCGCCGTAAATTTGCGTTACAAAATTAAGATAATTATTATAGAAGTTTCACGTTGTGAAAATTTATCGCGAATACTTTGGAAAAAAATCTGATTAATTGGCGCGCTTAGCGAGCCATTAATTCCATACAGCGCAATGTGTCCGGTACGTTGAAGGATTATTTTATAAACAACGTGGGCGTTGTATGCCTTTGCCATTGTCTTCGTCAGCGTTATTAATTAGCGTTCGCACTCTTTGCACACGGGAGGGAGGAAAGTCGATGCAGGCCACTACTCTCCAACTCGTAGACGTTATTACGGCAATCCGGTCGACGTCATAACTCTTTTTCCTAACCGCCAGACTTGCCATCGCGAAAACGATTCGTATTACGACCAACAATATATTAATTGCGCCTTAACCAACTTCGAGACAAAAGTTCGGAGTTTGTTCATAAAGCCGGATTCTCCGGAGTAGCCGTCGGCGATTAATCGACTCGCCGTTCGCCCGGTCCGCCCGGGTCGACTCATCGAAAAGTTCGCTCATCGAAAACCGCGCGAGAATGGGAGTGGGGAGGGGGGGGCGATAAGTCGATAAATAATACGTAACAAAGGAAAAACTTACTTGGACTGTGCACGCGTATCTCACTGTCACTGGGACTGGAAACACGATGGTCGTTTAACGAAGTGACCCGCAAGTGTCCGATCGGGCTGATCAGTCGCTGAGTGGAATGACCGCCCGGCGATGCTAACCTCAGGTCCCTCATGTCGTTGCCGGTAACCCTGAAATTTGACGAGCAGGTCAGTGGGCCGTTTCGTAGAAGGCCGCGCTTGAAATGACACCATAAAGTGACCTAATGCGAAAAGAAGCTGTGGAGAGGGTGAAAATTAAGCCGCTCACGACGATTCGAAAGGTATAATACGGTCCGCCGGTACAACAGTAGTGGCTCCCAAAAATCATCGTTTCGATCCGACAACGCTATGAATTTATATGGCTATATTAAATATCGACAATTTTCGAACATATCCGACGTTGCGCGTCAATTCTCGATTGATATCACGACACGCGCATTATCTTCTTACGTTGTACAATTTATAGGCGGCACAGAAGCCTTGTCGATTAATCATGGGAAAATCGATGTTCACCATCCGAGACAAATAAGCGCGGCTACGCGATACAGCAGAAATTAGGTTTCGCCGTGAAGGCAAACCGCGACGCGGATACATACGAGAAAATTGTATTTATCAAGGTGACGCGGTTTAGCTCACGCCTGGCAATAAATATAGAGCTCGGCGAGCTTGAGTGCAGCTCTCACGTCGATTATGTCATCGCGACGCCCTTCGGCCTAATTAGTGGCATATGTCCAGCTAGCCTTTCCACGTAACGAAAATTTAACAACAAAATTATATTATACGTTAATTGCGCGCTCTGAAAATTGGTTTAAAAAATTTCTGCGTTCCTTAGACCAAAAAAGGGCTGTTTTTTTTTTAGCTAACTTGACAGAATGCAAAAATCTTTTAATAAATTTTAAGAGCGCGCAATTATGTAATTATGTAATTTCGTCGTTACGCGAGAAGCTAAATTAATTACTGCAATTGCGTCATCGCATTGCAATCCTCACGTTGTGAGTTGTCAAGAACACGCAGGAAATTTGATCGGTTGTACATTTCGCGTCAAACTAACAGCGCACTGTTGTTGTTTGCGCAAGCAAACGGCGAGTAATTAAACAGCGACTTAAATGAACGAACCTGTGCGAACGCGTGCAAGGAGCTCCATAGCGAGTTATTTATAGACTAAATCGGGCGATAGCTAATCGCGCTGCGTACGTTTGGATGGAAATGCAACGCTACTCGCCTTTTATGGCGATTAATTTATGCCGTTCTCTCCGCATTCGCGTTTCGACATACCAGTTGAATGGAACTTTTGACACGGTTTGCCATAAAAGCCGACAGAGGTTGATATCGGAGTCCCCCATAGGTTGTGTCTCAGGTTGTTATACAATTACAATTGTATAATTGTAATTGTAACGATGATGTAATATTTGCCTCGGGTCGCGAATGTATGATCTTTCCAGAAACGCGGCGATACACACAAGGACGCGTACAGACATTCGGCCGCTTGCGGCATTTCTACTAGTCACCACCTCAAAGTAACCAAACAGTCGAGCAACTCACGAACCGGAATTAGATGGCAGGGTTGCGGCCGCGCGAGTACGCGTTCGCTAATAAGTTTCCCTATTACGGGGTGCGATAGGGGCGGCGGTTTAATTACAGTGCGCCGAAACTTCGTTATACAAATACCTGGGAGGGGTCGGCTTTGAGTCTACTTACATGCCGGGGCATTTGCCGATGTCGCCGTTGCTGGCGGCCCTCAGCATCTGGGCGGTTGACTCGTTCTCCTGCAGCTGCCTCATAGGCGGTTGCGGCTGCTGCTGTTGCTGTTGCTGCTGCAGCGGAGACGAGTGATGGAGCGGAAGCGGGTGCTGCCGATGGCTGCTGCCGGTACTGTTTCTCGGTAGCGGAAGAGTGGACACCGCCGTTGGCGGTTGAGTCAGCGTTCTCTGAGGCAGATGAGACGTGCTGACGGCCCTGGGCGGAAGCGGGTCTCTGCCTATCACGGATCCCGAGCCGGACGCTGCGAGAAAGAAATATGCATGCTCGTGAAAATTCTACCTTATGATTACATATACAGGGTGTGGCTTGAAGTGCCTTATCAATTATGTAGAGTTGTTCCTTGTAAAAACAAAGTTGAGCCGTAAAAACGCGATCACTGCAGCTGCAGTAATTATTGCTCCGTTGAGCATTGTAGAACAAAATTGCTCTTAAACAGCGCTCATCATTAATCATATAGCAATTCCTTATAAAAAAATTTAGTCAAAAAGTACCGAACCATTTTTTTTCTACAATGCTCAATAAAACGGTATAAGTGATCGCTTCATACAGAAGAAAACGGTTCAGGACTTTTTCGACGAGGAATAACGTTATATAATTAGTGGGCGCTATTTAAAATACACCCTGTATGTATGTTTCAAACAACCTTCATTATAGTACGCGAGTTAGTCTCAAAGCAAGATTTCATACGAGATGTTACGCTAATTGCGCCTTGCGTGTACACGGTGCAAATCTCACAAACATCCGTGGATTGCGAGGGTTCGGTACACGGGGAGCCGCTCAGGAAACATATGTCTCGCTTGAATAGGAAAGATGGGAGAAATATGTGGGAAACTAGTATATGGATATTGGAGATTGAGTAATGCTCTATCGTAGATCGCTCGTTCGCTCGCTCTCGGCGATCAACCAATCAGCCGTTACCGGTCATAAGTGAAAAATGTACAAGTTGATGTGTACGATTCCTCAAGATTTTACGATCGATTGTATTAAACACGAATCGAATTGAATAGGATTTACACAGTACGAAATATATTGAATAGGTCTATACAGGAATTATTATATTTCAATGAGCGTAATTTCGCCCTGTCGTAAGAAGTTACACATGAAGAAAATATTATAGTTTAATAATCTAAATATCGCTCGTAATTATAAAGACAAATATTAATAATAAATTAAGAGGCCGTAAACGAGCAAATTTTGTGGGTGTACTAACAAATATATTTCATTTATATCAAGATGTATAACAGATATCTACATATATAGTAAATATATATATATATATATATATATTTACTATATATATATATATATATATATATATAACTATAACTATAGTAAATATACTATAGTAAATATATATATATATATATATATATATATATATAATAAATAGCGGTACCAGTTTCGACTTGATCGTAGTCTTCATCAGCCGCTAAGTAATTAATACATGATTAATACATAAAAAACATTAAATAATAAATAAGTAAAACGCGGATGTAGTTCATGTCAACGTAGTGTGTAATTAAAAATTGATATAACAATGAATAAAATGAAGCGCAATATAATATAACTCATAGCCATGAACTCATAGCCATCATCAAAGTCATGGACCCGATGCTATGAGTTATATTATATTGCGTTTTATTCTATTACTTCGTTGTTTTATATCAATTATGACAATAAGAATATATTATATTGCGTTTCATTTTATTCATTGTTATATCAATTTTTAATTACTGACACACTACGTTGACATGAGCTATATCCGCGTTTTACTTATTTATTATTTCATGTTTTTTTATGTAATCATATATTAAATATTAATTATTTAGCGGCTGATGAAGACTACAGTCAAGTCGAAACTGATACCGCATTTATAGATATCTGTACATCTTGATATAAATGAAATATATTTGTTAGTACACCCACGAAATTTGCTCATTTATGGCCTCTTAATTTATTATTAATATTTGTCATTATAGTTGAAATTAGATAAAAAATAAGCCTTTCTGTTGTAAAAAAAAGTCGAATATAATGAACACTATATATACATAGTATTAAATATGATATATTATTAAATATATAATAAATTATTAAATAATATCTATAATATGTACGTTAATAAAAATATTCGACTAAATCTGAGAAACTTAGGATATACCTATAATTTACGTATATAAAAAAGGAACCGTATAATTCTAAGCTAATGCCGATACGTGCGAGACTCGCCTATTTTCTTAAAAGCTTCAAATTCTCAAAATTACATATTACTTCACTCCGGAGAAAATCTATGTGAAAGTAAATGAGACATGAAATACGAGAGGTGCGCTAGGCCCAAAGTTCGACGGTCGAATTTCACGCTGGCGGGTCCTCGCCATGCCGGATGCATGCAGTGAACATGGGAATGGTACGGGATGGAATTGACAGACACAGGACGAGAGATAGAACGGAAACGCGTGACGCTCGGGGCGACGGGGGCGGCGGCGGCGGCCATAGGCCACCGCGTTTGAGAACGGACTGACAGGACGGACGACGAGTGAGAGGAAAGGACAATTTATCGGGCGCAATTAAGTCAACCTCCGGAACCAGGCCAGCGGCGCGTTTGGTTACGTAAGGCCTCGGATTGCGCTAGGGGACCGGCTACGCGCATCGAGAGCGCCGCGCAATCGCGCGTCGCGACTCGTATTATTATTTTCTTTTTTCCGTCCGCTGCCGCGCTCGTAACTCAGCCCGCATCGGAACCGATCTACGTGCCAACAGGTTTCCCGCGCGCGATGGAATTAAAGAGTGGGATGGGAGTCGATTGTCCGTCGCTGGGAAAGTCGGTGTAGCGATCGTCCGGAATTCGATCGATGCGGAATGCGTCGGGAATCCACGTTGGCGCGGAATCATACGCGGAGACCTTGTCCGAGAGATCAGGACAATTCAAACGGACAATGAACGCGCGCGCGCGCGAAGGAAGCAAATTGCGCGAATCCGCACCGGCCATCGCTGCTACGCGCACGGCATTTGGCATTTTTGCCCGACGTGATCGAATCGACGGAATATCTGTCGCGCGACGATCGTTCACGCTTTAAACAGTTTAAACCGACGTTCACGCTCAGACTGACGCCGGGAATGCAAACGACCCGGCGCGATGCCATATGGGCGCAGCAGGAAACCTCCTCTCGCACTTTACGCATAATAGGCGGTATTCAATCTGCAGAATGTACGCGGACCCGATAACGCGCGCGCGCGCGCGCGACTCTCCCGTATGTATGATAAAGACATCGCGGGTGATTTGAAATTCCGTTCTCCAGTCACGATCGCGCCGTATTTGCAGATTGATATAGCCGCGAGGCTTTCTCCTATCCGTTTGTCGGCTCATAAACTCGTTCGCTCGTGGAAGCTAGAATATTTGTTGGAGAGTTCAAGATTACTCCGCGTCCTTTTAAACACCTGTGCGTCGCACAGTCTTCGTTGTGCCACGTAGATGATGGCTTCTTTTATTTATGCTCTTTACATCGTAAACGAACGTCACAACGCGTATAGCGAAGACGTTTATGGACGTTTGGTCCGTCTTAAACCCTCGGTCTTAGAGCGTCCGAGCTACGCAATTGAGAAATTCATGAGCAGTAATGAGGGTCTTATTATGCATAGAGTATCGCGAGGTGTGGCAACGTCACCGGGCGCGGCAATAAACTTTGCGCCGAGGAGTGATAACAGACTTCAGACGGACGACGCAGCGCGTCGCTTTATTCCATGTGCGAAAAATAATCGGCGAGCGGGACGAAAAGTCTCCCCCCCCCCCGCATACCTCTCTCGCACGGAAGCCACAGTCTGTTTTCTTACGATTTCTATAACGCCCCGGAAATTTATCTCTTCCAATAGTTTTCCAGTTATTCCCATTGCAATTCTACTCCGTTGCACTTTGTTTTGGATCAACAATCGCAGTTCGTCCCACCTCGCATTTTCCTCCGCCCGCGAAATTACACGGGTGAATGTATAATTATTGATATTTTTTATACGTATATAGATATTTTCTATTACCGTGGCGGATACGCGGGCTGGCGCGAACGTGTAACTCAAAGGGATACATTTCCGTATATAGCGATGTCCACGTACCGTGCGACATTTTTCACCTTTTATAGGCAGCGCGCGGGAGATCCGGCGACGCGACGCGCCAAGTCGTTTCCCGCGCGGAATCGTTCAACTCGGCCTGTGACTAACGAAAAACTCGGACGTGCGAACTACGCGCGATTATGTATCGAGACTGACCGTGGACAATCGGGACGGTGTGACTGCGTGCGCGGTGGAATGCGTGACGACGCATCCGGGATGCCGGCGATTTGCGCGGATTCATCGTTATGCGGCGAATGGACGCACGCGAGCGAGATGACTCTGCGACGTTTCGTATCGATAGCCGGCCGGCCGGCGCGGCGCGGCGCGGCGCGCAGTGTCGCTCGATTGGATTAAATCGAGATTCAACTTCCTGAGCGACGTCGCGTTTCCTTTTTGCGCAATCGTAATCGCATTTTCCTCGTTTCTTGGCCCTCGCGCCACCGGAATGCGGATGGATGCGGTCGGCATTGTCAGCGTTTCGAGCGAATCCTACGCGCGCGTCAAAGGACGTCGCGCAGTAAATTTATTTGGTTTTAGCCAATAAATTCTCGTCACGCGATAGAGATCGTAAATAAATCTACGAGTTTGCGGTCGAAAATTATGGCGTTATCTACGACTCTACATCTCCTTCTCTCTGTCCACTGAAATTATATATGATCTAATACAGACTTGTCTTTATTTCTTATTACCAACCGAATTATTATTATACTATACTTATTTATAGATACGTGCAAGTATAACGTAAGAATAATTTATGCGCGTTCGTAATTCATAATATATGTATATATATTTTTAATACTATTTAAACCCAGTCAAGTTTTTCCAGTTATTCTTGCAGTTCTAAGATCGGAAATCAAGGATCTTTTTCGAACAAGACCGACGACTCGAGCGAAAACGGCAGCAGTTTTAATTTTTTAGATCGTCTCGATGCTCTTTTATGATTTGCAAACTCGAAAAATCTCTGGAACAGTTTTATGTTTAGAGCATTGTCGAGAAAAATTGTACAGCTTCTGTTTTACATACAATAACGGTTATATAACTTCTCTTTTTCCCCTAATATAATTGCCACGCATTGATCCAATGAAACGCATTCAGGCTGAATTGTATCGCTTTGTCCTCGATACAAATTATGATAACCATCCGGAATATTCAATGCGCACGGAACGTCGAAAATACGCAGATAATCGATAAAACGGGAGAAATAATTTAATACTCGGGCTCGATATCGATCGGCGAATGTACCGCGCTAATGTTCCACCTCCCTCTCGAGCCCTCTGGTATAAATGTATACAGCAGGAGTCAGTGTAATAATTTAAACGTATGTCTCCGCCGACCCATTGCGAAAGTCGCACGCCGCGCGGAAACGTTAGACCGTGTAACAGATCGGCGGGCGGCGTTACCCCAATTTCGTTGTTTTAGAACCGGACCTCGTTTCGCGCGACGTTACAAAATCTAGCGACAAGCGAGAAATTCGCTCGCAAGTTTCACGCCGGCTTAATTAAATGCGGGATATATTGGCGTCCGTACAAACGTCTGCGGATCCGCGCGTGCAGGCGCGTATATATATACACTGCTCAAAAAAATTATGGCATAGAAAAATTTTGAGCAAAAATTGGTCAACTTTGATTAACGGTAACTCCGCGAAAAATCATCATAAAATGATGAACTTTTTTTCAAATGAAAGCTTGAAATCTCTACTTTAAGATACTGTGAGTCGATTTTTAATTTAATGCACTCCTGTTGCTGTAAACTTTTAAATCTGAGAGCATGTTTGCCACACTGAAAATTGCAAAGTTTGAACGAGTGCATGGACTTGCTAAAATTTTTCCCGGGGATGCGGTTTCCAGCGTCATAAAGTTGGAATCTTTCTTTTTAATTTGAAAAAAAAACAAGTCGCTACGATTTTTTTTCACAAAGTTACAGCATTTTGAAGTAACCCTTGTATTTTTCTCATGTATGTTCGGCATTATCCGATGTGCACTATAGGGAGGTTGGCAATCGGATTTTGCACATTGTGTGAATGCGGGCGTATGTAAAACATACACACATACACACACGGTGTGCAAAATCCGATCGTCAACCTACCTATAGTGCACATCGGATAATGTTGATCATATACATGAGAAAAATACAAGGGTTACTTCAAAATGCTGTAACTTTGTGAAAAAAAATCGTAGCGACTTGTTTTTTTTTTCAAATTAAAGAGAAAGATTCCAACTTTATGACGCTCGAAACCGCATCCCCGAGAAAAATTTTAGCAAGTCCGTGCATTCTGTTAAACTTTGCAATTTTTTCATGTATAATTGGCATTATCCGGTGTGCACTATAGGTAGGTTGGCGATCGGATTTTGCACACCGTGTGTGTATGTGTGTATGTTTTACACACGTCCGCACTCACACAATGTGCAAAATCCGTTTACCAACCTCCCTATAGTGCACATCGGATAATGCCAAACATACATGAGAAAAATACAAGGGTTACTTTA